TATAAAATATGCAAGATTCATAATTTCTGAAAGGGGAATTTAGGAGAATATATGGAAGAATAGGGGAATACCTTTTAAAAGTTATAATTACATTATATCCTTGTTATGTAATAGTGTTTGAGGCTTCCGGTGGTCTCCAGAGTAGTTAGGATAGAATTGAAGATTTGCCCATCACACTGAGACACTAGCAGTACTTAGACATTAGCCGTGCACGTCATTTAAGCTTTTGCTTCCTCGTGGTAAAATTTAGCAAGATGATGCCAGGGACGACGTCACGGGACTGTGGTAAAGGTGGACCGTGCATGGGGTGCATCACAGAGCCCTGCCTGCAAATGTCAGCTGTCTTCGTTAATAACGTTTCCGTTAGGGCATTCCTGAGAAGGCAAGGAAGTGATTGTGCCATTCTGAATATTTTATAGATTTATATTGCTTTCCTTTTGGAAAGGATAGTTTACATTTATTTATCTACAAACTAAAGCTGGGGAGGTCAGTAGCATGCTAAGTTTCTTGATCAGAGTAATGATTTCACATGACTGGCAACCCCGCGTGACCTTGGGGCATTTTCTCTGTGGCGGTGACGCCATCCTTCTCCTGTCCCACTACAGTGTCTTATATGTACCAGGACCACTTCTTTTCCCCGTCAGTCGTTGGAACTGATGATGGGAGTTTCCAAAGCAGGGAGAAAAAAGGAGCAAGATGTTTATTCTGACCTAGATATTGAAGGATGTTATGAGGCCATTCAGGTCCTCATCATTCATTACAAGAGTAGTAAGTGTATTCTTTGTAGCACATCTGTACTTCATGTGATTATTGGAAAAACTTTTCTTAAGTAACCTGAAAATCACCGTGTGTTCTAAATGGTGTTTTACTGGCTTCTGGACTTCACCCTCCCCGGCCCCTCAGTACCGTTTGTGAGTCTTGGACTGAGGTGCGCTTCACCGCGTCTGCTCCCTGTCTTCCTTTGGTTTGTAGTCTGTGTGTTGTTTTCCTTTTTGTTACTGACTACCAACCCTCCTCCCACCCCCCCTACTCTGGATTTCCTGCTTTTTATAATGCAGTTAGGCATATTGAGATGCTAAGGTAAACTTTTAGTGAAGCTTCATTCTATTCCAAAATGATGGACTTGAGTATAGACTGATGCTCCTTTTGTTAAGGGCACTTTGCTAGACTCCGTCAAAATTTTACACGTATCAACCCTTTGGCAGAAATTCTCCTTGTGGAGATTTATGCTCCAGAGAAATATCACATGAAGGTGACTGCACACGGATTTTATTATGGTGCTGCATGAGGTAGGGAAAGACTGGGAACAACCTAAATGTCCATCAGGAGGGGACTGGTTAAATAAGTCAGAGTACTGACAATAATGCAGTACTATGTAGCGTTAAGAAAAGAATAGATTCTCAGGTGCAGGTATGGACTGAGCTCCACAATACATTGTTAAGGGACCAAAAAAATACTCTGTGTACAGGAAATATGCCCCACTGTGTTTAAAGGAAAAAGGATTTGAATTCACGTTTGTACTTGGCGACGCCCTGCACAGTTGTGGAAAGAGAAATAACAGCTTGTGTACAGCAGTCCTTCTGGAGGGCATCCTGGGAAGGAGGTGGCCGCTCTCTTCAGTGTTTATCGCTTTGTATCTTTCGAACTCACACCATGGGAATATCTTCCCTTTTTATTTTTTCTTAAAAAGTGTCCTTGACATTTTATTCTACATTTTCTTTAGAGTCTGGTGTTGCCATTAGTACTTAATTCACTTCATCATAAAACAGAAGCACTTGGGCTCTAGGCCTTGACAGCAGACCCGCGTGACAGTTTTGGTCTGACCCTACCTTACGATACGAGTGGGACACAAGTGTTTCCGGCTCAGGCTCCGCGCTGTGGGATGTGAAGCGCCCAGCAAAAGGAGGGTTCTGTACTGGGCGTTCAGTAGACGAATACCATGTCTGCTAAAAGAAACACCTAAGTGAAAACTTGTGAAGCAGATGTGTACATGCCCCTACCCCGAGCTCTTTTCACACCTTTGTTGTTTTCTGAGTCAGTCTCCCTTTACCTTTGACTCATAACATAAAGAAGGTTAAAACCAGACTCCATCAATGGTTCAAAGTCTGTGGGTGAGATGAAGAAAACTAATATTGATAAAGAACTGAGAAGGGGTAAACCACATTCCCCACTTGTGGTTCTTTTGTATTGCAGAATTATCACACTGAGAGTCTCTCTTAAATAGCCACGGCTTTGTGTATGTGCAGCGGCGGAGTGCAGTGATCCTGTGCGTGTAAGCGGGTATACCCACCAGGGCGCACTAGTTGCAACTTGTAAATAACCAAAGATGGCAACGATGTGTTAAGAATGTAAGGCTGTGTCTTGTCACTTGTCTATAAAATGTGATGCTGAACATACTCTTTATTTTCTGAGACTGACATTGCATTCTTACTGTCTATTAAATTACTCATTACTACTACGCTTCTTGAGGTGAAAATAAGTACATACTAGAAAATAAATATAGATTTGAAGGGGGGGAAAAGCTCCGGTTAGTTATAGAATATAAGCTTTCTATCTCTATTAAAGCTTCCAGATGTAGACTTTATAGCCCCCGTGTGAATTATATATGGATGATGATTGTGTTAGGTTAAAACTTGGTACCTTTTCTGGATGTTTTCTCAGTTAAATTAATCCTTATGTTTCAACATAAATTGAGGCTAGAAGAAGTTCTCGTTTCAGCAATTCTCACTAAATTTTGTTTCAGTTTTATTTCCAACTGAATTTAATAATTGAAAACCTCTTGTGGTTAGGAATAGTGTTGGAGACTTTGGTAGAGTCTAATTATTTTGAACTTTTAAAGCCTTAAAACGTGAAATGTAAAGCCATAGTAAAATTTTCTGATAGCTTTCATAGTCTATTAGTTCAGTGTTGCTTATTTTAGAGGGGACAGTATCTAAATTGAAATGTGTATTCATTATAGTTGTAATGGTCTCTTTCAGCTCTTTTAAAAATCAGTTCATTTAGCTACAAAGAGAAAATAAAAAACATTTAAAAGGCTAATAAGCAGAGGGCATGTGAGTCTGTTCCTGTTTCTTAACCGACGTTTACTAAAAAAAAAAGTGTCTGAGCACTGCCCATAAACTCTGTGTGCGCACACGCGTGTATTTGAGGAACTAGCAGGGGTCTGCTCATTTGTTTGCCCATTGTGAGACTGTCCAGCACCTTTGTGGGTTGTTTTTTTTTTTTTTGTACCAGGGTGAAGGCCCTGAATGGAGGCCTTGTGCCCTACTTGATTTGAAATCCTCACTGTTAATCTAAAGGAACCTGCAGGGCACCCAGCAGGAAGTCTGTGTGACAAGTGGAGGTCTGGGATCCGGAAGCTATGGTGCTCAGGGCAGGGGGGCAGTGAAAGTGATAATAATCTTTCAGCCTCGGCTTTTGTCCCCCACAGCCTAATTGTTATCCTCTGCTGGCAGCCAGATTGAAGCGCTACCCTTTTGGGTGTCCTGGATTGCATGTGCTCACTGAGGCCTCACCTAACTGTTACCAGATTAAAACCTGGACAACTGGGCTTTAACTCTCTTAAAAAAGCATAGTACTGACTAGGCATTATGCATTCCTTTTAGAGGTTAGATATTTTGATGAACTCTGTGTGTGTGTGTGTGTGTGTGTGTGTGTGTGTAGCTTTATTTAAAGGGTAGAAGGGTTGCTTGGGAAATGCTGTGTTGTTGGCATGCCCTTTATTACAGAGCCTGTTTAAAACCAGCACTTGGCTAGTTAAATCTAGTTTGTGCAGTTTATGTATTTTGTAGTACTAGCTATTGGTCCAAAGTTTCTTGGCTTAAGAAGCCATGTAATTTTAAGTGTATACTGTGTGAGAAAGGGGTGGGGCAGTAGAAGCTTTTTATAGGGCTTCAACTAATAAACATTAATTTTTAAAGTAATATTTTGAGAATTTAACAGGAGAAGTAGAACCTGTATGTAGTGTTTCTTTAATACTTTAAACACTGGCAAGGGAAACGGAGAGAATTTTGTTTTTAAGTGATATTTTCTATTCTTTTTTTCTCTCTACTCAGAAACTGGTTCTTCAACTTTCAGTGCCAATTAAGACATGCTATAATAAGTATTTTATATTCTGTCCTGCTGTTTGACTTTGGGTGTAAATGGTGGTAGAATGTTTAGTAGCTGAGCGTACATAGTTAAACAGCTAGAGATTGGGTATATAGTAAGTTTGGTGTGGTGTGGTATTTGGTTTATATAATAGTATTTCAGCATAATACTGAAACCATGCAGAATACCTCCTGGAAAAGTGTTTAACAGAATGCCAGAAAGGCCATGTTAATGATAAGTTTCTCATACCTCAGCAGGTTTTTTGGGTGTGTTTTGTTTCCCTACTGCTGTTTTATTCTTTATTGTGGTTCTCTGGAAACTATGCCACGTGAACATATGGAATTCTATACATGAAGGTTTATTGGTTTTGTAGAAACCCCAGGATACTCTGAGCTTAATAACTATGTTGTTTTGTGGGTTATCGAGAGGACATACTAAAAGTCAGTTGTTAATAAAGTTTTCATTAATTATTTTAACATTTTCAAGGTAATATTAAAGGCAGCTCAACCAAAATCAGAATTAAGCAATAACATGAGCTTTTGGTTTGCTCTGGTTTAAAAGAGAGTTTGATCATAGCTGACCTCCTTCCCCATCTTTCACTGACTGTTAACCTTCCTGCAAAACTCAAATATGGTGTTTAGTTTGTATGATCTCATAATAAATTTAGGTGTGTGTGTGTGTATATACATATATATATATATTTAAAATAAAAAGATACATGTTTTTGCTCTTGATGATTCACTGCTTTGTCTTTTGTTTCTACTTTCGATAAAGTGTTAAATGATAGCTATAACATATTTATATGTCTGCTTATATGTAATATCAGTTGATAGTTTGTGATAAGCCTTGCTTTGTTTTGGTTACAACTCATTGAGATATTTATGAAGTGCTTTATATTTGTGTTTGTTTAGGACATGTCTCAGGAAGGCTATGGAACTAGGTCTCAACCTCCTTTGGCTCCTGGAAAACCTAACCATGAAGACTTGAACTTAATACAACAAGAAAGACCATCAAGTTTACCAGTAAGACATTAATGTGCTGATTTGGAAATGTAATGAGTTAAAATTTTTTTAAAAGAGCTCTTGTTTTTGTTTGTTCTACTTTATATTAAGACTTGGGGGAGAAGTTTCTAGATTTCAGATATATTTGTGATTTATTAATTTTTTTAGGGCTGTCTTCTCAAGAGCTGTGTGGTCTTGGATAAGTCTCTTTCATTTGTAGGTATGTCTTAGTCCAGTTGGAAGGTTTATTCAGCGGATGGGTTTTGTGGCAGAAAGGTGTTTCTGTTGTACAGTTGTTCTTTGCTTACCCTGTTGCTTTCTGGTAGTGATACAGAACAATGGTGTCCGATATAAGAGTTAAACGTAAAGAAATTACCACTTGGCAGAGGATATCAGCGATGAATGAGATAAAGCATCCGGTGGTAGTTTGACTATCTTCTGGGACTTTATGTAATGAGAAATCACCCAATCCATTTCTACCTAAAAGAAAGTATTTTCCTTTAAATTTGACAAAAGCAGCTTATAAGTATTTCCACCAGCAAATACTGTGTGGTGATTGGGGTATATATTGATTAGAGTAGTGGCTACATTCTAGGGAATCATGTTGAGGCCCATAAATAGTTCATCTGTTTTTTTAATGAGCAGCCTAATTTAAATGAGGTTTTTCCTTATAAACTAAAAGAATACATCTGTGCAAATAAATTTTTATATTTATGTTCTGGTTAAAATATTGTGATTTGAAAAATTATTATTATTCCTTAATCTTTACTAAGTTTCATTTAAGATGGGAGTTCGGGCTAGTCATGATTTTAATTTGAGTTTCAAATATTTTACATTAAGATTTATTATATTACTGCTAAACATTTGAGAACCAGCCTGCGTAATGAATGTTCTACATGACGTTTGGCATGCATAGCGTACCCATTTTTAAGTTACGTGTAGCCTTAGAGAAGAAGGTAAGTCATGGGTACAGGGTGTATAGTATCTTCGAAGCTGATGCACATGTTTTTGACATCCTAATTTTTTAACTTTTATTTCTGTGGTGGGTGAAATTTATTGTGGTCATTTTGTAGTCACCTTGGAGTATTTATTGTCTAGTTATTTGGTTTTTGAAGGAATGAAAGAGGTGATAGAGTCTGCGTTTTGTGCTCTACACTTTTTTCTTCAGTGGATGATTCACAGCTTGGTAAGCGTGTAGTTTGTGTGTGCGCGTGTGCAGGTGAGCACTGTTGATAAATGTAACATTTGCTGCATACTTGGAAATTGGCTTGTGGTTTTAGGAAATTTAAATGGACACCAGAATTTTGTTGTTTTTAGAGAAACCCAACTTTGTAGGTGTGCCTTTGGCTGATGAAGTGTGCTGCTACACATGTTGAAACATTTGTTATAAATTGATAGATTTTTTTATGTAGCTATAAGAAAAATTTGTGGCGTGGTGCTTTCCTCATATGCCCTTGAACTTCACCAGGCTATGCTTCTTTTCATGGCTCTGCACTGAAATGGGTGCTTGAGATTCAGCTAGCTCTACAGCACAGTCGTTAGGGAAGGAGTGAAGTGCAGTAGTCCCAGAAAGCTGAAGAGTTCTGCTCTGGGATGGTGCTTCTTAAGTTGATTATTGAAAAGCAGGCTAAAAGCATTTTAGGAAGCGAACCGATATATTCATCAGTAGTTCAAGTTTTTCTGAATTGTTCAGTTAGTATACATATAATGGATTGCTTTCTTCCTTAACCCTTACTGTGCCTAATTCCCAAGAGGATCTAAGGTTGTGCAACACATAAATTTTCTTAAGAGCTAATAAAAAAAAAAGAAACGCCCCAATTGGTATTTTTCTTTCTGTTTTTGTAACTCTCGCAGGTAAATAAGATGCCGATTGACTCAGTGACATTTCACTATTTTTTTAGAGAGCCAAATTTCCAGGTTTTGGGGTGAGTATATGGACGTATCAGTTACTGGATAAAGAACAAACCGCAGATCAGCTAGTGTACCTAACGCACCCCCTGCCCCTGCTGCTAATCTGTGAAGGTGAAAATTGGCTTTATTTAAATGGGAATTTTAGCAAGACACTTTTCTTTCAACAGGCTTCATTTGTGTAAAACGTTTCTGTACAGGGTTTACTGATATATTTTTAGCTATGTGGATGCTGCCTCAGTATGTTGTTATATACAATTAAGGTAATCGCAATTTGGGGGGAAATTTGTTGGTATTCCACTTGGTTCTAATATCAATGTTTTTAGTGTTACTCCTATTAAATATTTTAGTTCTCCAACTTGGTTAATTTGATACTGTAGGTATCGTGGAACTGTATAATATCTGAATTTCCTATTGGGTAGTTGGTAGATTTATGCTGCGTTTTTTATTCAAGTGTCAATGATATAAATTTTGTCTTTTTACTTAAAGCTAAAGACAATCCATCATATTTGCAACCTCTAGTTTGTAATTTGGAACTAAGGAAATTGTGGGTGTTACCTTTACCTTTGAAAAAATGTGGTATAGTGATCCTAATGTATGATTATTAAGTCTTTATTTATTGTGTATGTGACTATGAAGAAGGAAGCTTCTCTAGTTATTTCTTAATCTTTTTGATTATATTGAGATAGATTTTGTAATATTTTCTACACATGTGATATTTTCTTTAGCATGTTTGTTACATGGTTAAATTTCTATTACAAGAAATCAAGATATTTCCAGTGTCTTTATGCTAGATCTATAGTTTGAATTCTCAGTAAGTTGTCCACTCACCGTTGTTTGAACTGGTGTCTCTCTGTATTTGCATGTCATTAAATTCTTGGTGATCTTCAGTAGCTAAAGCAGTTACGTTCCAGCTGACTTAGATCTTCAGATCATCCACAGTAAAGCAAATAACTGATAAATTAATATTTGTCCTCTTGTTGTCTTGGGGCCATGACCAGTGATATTTACTTGTCACTTAATTCCCTCCAGTCTAAGCTTAGAACAGATCTTTCTTAATAATGTCCACTTATTGCTGTACCTCTTAATCATACAGCTTTTCCCCCATTGAGATACATTAGCTTACATACTCTTGATATTACCATTTTTAGCAAATCTTAGCATATAGCAGATATTAAAAGTAGCTTGAAGAACTCTCTCTCCTGGGAATAGTATCACTTAAAATTCAAGCACATTCTGCATTTTTTTCTACTTCTATTATTGATATGAAATGAAGCCAGCATTTAATAAGCAAAATACACTGTGGAGGGCCAAAAAAAAAGGCTATAACTTATTAACTCTTTATCTTAAAAACATTGAGTATATCTCAATTTCTATTTTAAGATAACTCCCCAAATATTATTTAATATACCTTTTTTTGTTGGGTCTTTTGATATATTTTCATTGCTTGTGCTATCACTGTTGATCTTTTTATTACATTTATTTTTATAGCTGTCTTGACTCCCCTATTAATAGACGAGGATCTTTTCGGAATATTTATTATGTCTTATTCAGCAAGTATTTTCCTAGTAGATTTTATGTAAAAACTTTTAAACACATTCTTCCTCTAGTATCAGAATTTTCTTTTCCTTGCTGAAGGGGTTTTTTCCCAAGGTATTGACTTGATAGCAGTAGACAGCCTATGTTCTGCAATGCTACCGATACTGAAGGATTATGTGAGTGCACCATCTGTATTAGCAGGGTGGGGTTTTTGTCAAAACCATTTTCTTGGGGCGCCTGGGTGGCTCAGTGGGTTAAGCGGCTGCCTTCGGCTCAGATCATGACCCCGAGGTCCTGGGATTGAGCCCCGTGTCGGGCTCCCTGCTCGGCGGGAAGCCTGCTTCTCCCTCTCCCTCTGCCTGCCTCTCTGCCTACTTGTGCTCTCTCTCTATCTCTCTGTCAAATAAATAAATAAAATCTTAAAAAAAAAAATAACCATTTTCTTTTATTATAAGATGACATTTGAATTTTACCTGGTAGCCTTAAGCTTCCATAGAAGAAGTGGGCACTTTTGGATAATTAAGCTAAAAGTAGTGGGAAAAACATTCTTAGTAGCATGAAAACATTCTTTGAATTGTAAAGATAAGTAAATTGACAGGAACAATAATCATTTCAGTAAATATGGCTTGGATATGTTGTTAATAAAATACTTTATGAACATGTATACAAGGACGTAAACAAACAAAAGGTTTGATTTTCTTCCTTGATCTAAGCACATAGTGCTTTCTCCTCCAGGGATTTGAAGAGCCGTTAGTTTTCCTCAGGTTATAGCAATCACGAATCTGTTTCATTCTTCCAAGAGGCCTGCCACCAGTTTGTGTTTCAGGTAGTAGGTCCATTATGCTGTTTACCTAAGATACAGAAAGGATCAGTCACATTCTAATAGCCTTTGAGAAGCCCATCAGGTCATTAAAATCCTCCTTCTGACCCTTTCTTCTTTAAATAGGAAATATCTAAAGAGATTGACATAAAAAGGGATTTTATCTTTCAGAGTTTAGTAAAAAACCCTAAATGTCCTGTGGAATAGTGCTTATGGTACTTCTGTTGAGTTTGCAATTAGAAGGGAATATTGAGGTTTAGATAAAATATATGTTTTTTGGCCCTTTGCGAAAGGAAGGAGGTAGTAAATGCTGGTTGTTCTTTGAAATAGAGGGTGTTAAACAGGATATTGGAGGCCTGAAAGAAGATGGTTGGAAAACTGTTATTACCAAGGATATTTTTTGGGGGTTAGGTATTAGCAACAGAGCCTACAATGATTTGCCTTTCCTGAAAGAGAATACTCTGTGTGTGTTTGTTTTTTAAATCTTTAATGACACTTATGTTGGATAGTGGTAAAAGGTCATGCACTTTGGAAGCATATATGAATATTGATGATATGTTAATAGGGGCATTTTAAGTGTGTGGGTTTGATATAGTTTCTATGAACAATTGGAAACTATTGGGAAAAGCTAGGTGAAGCGTTTTTTAACTGGGTTTTACTTTTTATTAAGTTTTCAACCCTACCTAAAATACAAATTGTTAAAATGATCTCAACCTGTTAGGTGGCAGGTTTTCGCAGAAGTTGAAATGTACCA